GGAAACACTGAGCCCAAGATCCAGGGGGAGGCTATTGTCGCAACGACCATTTTGCAACCCTAACCCTAAATCCATGAAGATCCTGATGTGGAATGTCAGAGACATGGGAATTAATGCTTTCTGAAACCACCTCCTCAAATGCATCCATGCCCACAAGCTAGGGATAGTGATTGTAGTCAAAACTTGATTGAGTAGCAATAGAGCAATAGAAGTTTGTAAAAGTCTACCTTTCACAAACTTCAACATAGTGGATCCATGCACCTTCAAGGGAGGGATATGGCTTCTCTGGAATGATGTTGAGGTCAAGATGGAACCCATCACCAGCAACTTCCAGGTCATTCATGCCACAGTTAAGGTAACTCCAAAATCCCCTTCTTGGCTTCTTATCTCTGTTTGTGTGAGCCCTAGGTTATGGGAACACCTCATATCTATTGCTTCCCATAACAATTTTCCTTGGCTATGTTTGGGTGACTTCAATGTACTTCTTAGCAATAATGACAATTTGGGAGGTCTACCCATAAGTAAATCTAGAGCTCTTGCCTTCAAGGACTGTTTGGGCTCTTGGAATTTCATTGACCTAGGCTTCTCTGGGCCTCGCTTCACTTGGATTGGTAAAAGAAAAAACAGTGTCATTTATGAAAGACTTGACTGGGCCTTTGGGGACCCTAATTGGAGAAATCAATTCCCGGAAGCCTCCATTACCCATCTTGCTCGTACCAAATCTGACCACTGCCCGATCCTTCTCAATCTCAATAATCAAAGCTTTAACTCACCTTGTAGACCCTTCTAATTAGATAAGTTTTGGATAAATCACCCCTCTTTCCCTAAAATCACAAAAGATTCTTGGCCTCTCCCTTCTTCCCTCCTTTTGACAGCCACCAAGATATGGAGCAATCTCACCTTTGAAAACATCTTTGCAAAGAAAAGAAAGTTGTTCTCTATGCTAGCTGGAATCCAAAAATCCCTGCAAGTCCGACCCTCTCCATTCTTCACTAAACTAGAAACCACCCTTAAATGTGAACTTGAGGCCACTCTTGCTCTCGAGAAAGATCTTTGGCAGATGAAGTCTAGAGTGGACCATCTCCTATGGGATGATATGATCCTAAAGTTCCTCCATACCACCACAATCATCCATGGGAAAAATAATAGAATCACATGCCTTCGAGACTCTGTTGGAAACTGGATCAGTGAGGATTCTTTTCTCAAAAAGCATATTCTCTCCTTTTTCTCCAACCTCTTCACCACGGAGTTCTGCCAAGTTGAAATCCACCCAGACCACCTCCCATCCAACCCTATTTGTTTGGCCCCTGACGACAAAACTACTTTATGTGCCAAGCCATCCATTCCCGAAATCAAAAGAGCATGTCTTGAGTTTGAGCCTTTCAAGACTCCTGGACCAGACGGAATCCATGTCTTCTTCTTCCAAAAATTCTGGAATCAGGTATATCTCCCCTTGTTAACTTTATTTGGGATACTTTTGACACGAAGTTGAAGCCTTTTCTGGAGGGCCTTAATGACTCATTCATTTGCCTTATTCCCAAGGTTGACAAACCTAATACCATCCGCAACTTGGCCTCTGTAACTCCGTTTACAAGATTCTTTCCAAAGTGGAGGTCTCATTCGAGATCACAATGGCTGCTAGATCAAAGTCTTCTCCAAGAAACTAGGCTTGACTGACAACTTAATTGCTGAATGTTGGGGATTACGTGAAGGACTTGAACTTGCTAAAATCTCTTGGCATAAATAACTTAGTTGTAGAACTTGATTGTGAAATCATCCTTACTATGCTGTTCGATACTAACTCATTATTTCATGATTTGAACCCCATTTTGCATGATTGCATGACACTGATAGGCTCGTTCCAGCAAATTAAAGTCCAGTACATCTATAAGGAAGCAAATTGAGGAGCTAATTTTCTTGCAAAGAAGGGTGGAAATCTTTTGTTAACTTTTTCACTCTATCATAACTGTCCTCCTCAGCTAGGAACTATTTTGTGTGATGATTTAAGGGGTACTTCCGCAAACAAATATGTGACGTACGGCTTTAAAATTTTATTTATGCAATCTTTTATTCCTAAAAAAAAATAGAATTTGGCATACACCCGCCAAATACACAAATGTGGTGTGTTACCAGTAACATCGAGGGTGGTTTGATAATTTGCATTTCTCTTTTTCTTTTTTCCTTTTTTCGTCTCTTCATTTTTTCCCGGTTTCCCTTGTTTCATTTTTTTTCTTTTTTTATCTCTTTATACTAATTTTTATTATTCCTCGTACACTCCCTGAATAGGGATCGCTTGGAGCAACCACTCCCCGCCACAACCCTCCATCACCGTTCATCCCACCTCGACTCTCCACTACCCTTCAAACCCCACCACCACTCTATCTCCGTGGCAGCAACGTTGTTGGAATTTTTTTTTTCCAAACTTGGGCTTCTTCTCTACAGGAGCTTTCTCCACGGAGTTGTTTTCAATTTCTTACCGATCAACCTTCAACCCATTCCCTTCCTAGTAAACAAAATTTAGTGCCTTTCATTATTGATTGTTGTCACTAACTTGTGTTAAGGCCGGACAGAAATTGGATCCAAAGGAACCGGGATGGAGTTGGGATGTAAACGAAGACTGGTATTGTGTTTTGCTTTTGATTAATGAAATCTGTTGCTTTTTGTGGGCAATCAGTACTCTATATCGATTTTCCTGATCCAAAGGATGATTCTTATTCATCATTTTGGTGGTTTTTCTTGCATTTGGATTGCATGTAATGATTAAGCTCATCATTGTTCGTGCCTATTTCGCTATTTTTTAACTCATCTTTGGTCAAATCTGATGTGAAAATCTTGATCTATTTGAAAATTGGAGCTGATGGGGTAATTTTTTTGTTGAATTAAGACAGTGGCGGTGAAATCCGCTGGTAGGCGGCTTCTACGCAACCACTGGTACAGAAGATGACAAACTTTTAGATTTTTTAAATGAGCCCTTGAATTTTAATTTTGTCTTAAATGAAGCAAGAAAGATTTTGAAATCTTAATTAAATCCTAAACTAACTTTTAGAATAATTTGAAAACAAGGCTAATATAGAAATTTTACATTTTTTTAGTCAATTCACATGGCTTCATCCCATTTTTTCAATTAGTCCAAATCATAAGAGGGTTTTTTGGAGATGTACAAACAGTGATGCAGTTTTATGACCATACCCCAAACCACATGGGGTTTATGTGTGTTTTACCCTAAATATAATGATTATTCACAGCTGCACCGGCCCTTAATTGTAAGAAACAAAATATTGATTCTACCTATCATTAATGGATAGTGTCATAAACTTCCCTTAAACTTTCTGACAATTTCAGTTGGCTCCTCTAAGGTTTTGAATATCAATGTAGCATAGTCAATCCATATACCTTAAAAAGTCATATGAAAGGTTGAAGAGTATTTTCTTTACCAAATTTCCTTCCATACCGATATAATAAACTAAGAACAGGACTAGAAAAATGCAACAAAAGGATTTAACTTGATCTTATAAAATTTCATAGGGTAAAATTGTGAGGTAAATCATAATCAAGCCAGTGAGAGAAGTACAAACCTAAAATATCATGTATAGAAATACTTAAGAAAAATAACAAATTATACTCGCCAAATTAAGATTTTCATTTTTAGATGTTCCTAGCTGTGATTATGTAGCATACTTCATTATTGCTAATGGGTGATATGTCTCTTCATTTTTCTTTTACAATTTATAGCTATTTTTTAAAAATGAATTTGCAATTTCAAGTTATTTTGACCCTAAGTATTCGCAAAAGTCGAAGTTTAGATATTAATTCTCACAATGTTTTGTTAAAACATATATGACTCTTTGTAATCTGTGACAAATAATTTTTTTTTTTAGATAAACATCATTCACTTTGAAATGAATTTTGAACTTATTTTAGTTAATTTTGTTCTATCCTTATTTATAAGCCATGAAGGGTGATAAAAATAATTTTTTTTAGATAAACATCATTCACTTTGAAATGAATTTTGAACTTATTTTAGTTAATTTTGTTCTATCCTTATTTATAAGCCATGAAGGGTGATAAAAATACTTTATAGCATTTTATATGGATTTTTTATGCACATGGGCTGACACTGTTACATTAAAACTCAAAATTGAGGAAATAAGTGTAATATTTAAAATTCAGGGGAGTCAAGTAAAATAGTCCGAAACCTCTTCGAAGGTTTTCTGAAATTATCGCTATTATAAATGCTAAACCTTGACTGAATAACATGCTACACACTCTGTCTCGGCAGCATCTGTTTGACTAAAATATTTTTACTCTTTTACAGTACCTTATAACTGTTTATATTCTATTTTTGATAAGTTTACCATTAAAATTAATCGTCACACAAACCATATTGTGAAGTGATTCGAGTATGAAATTATGATTAAAAAATTTTCAGATATTTGCTTTCTTTTATTTTTTAAGTTCTTAGGCTTGAGCAAAAGGATATTGTAGCATAGTTCATATTTATATGAGGGAAAACCATAAACTGTTCTGCTTGCTTCATTCGATAAATTGGAACGATAAAGTGAAGACTGTAGCACAGTTGCTAAAAACATATACTTCTTCGTTGTCCTAAGTAGTTAATTTTCAGTTTGACAAAATCTCTTGCAACGATTACATGGTAATAAATAATCAGTTTAACATATTTTTTTTTGCAATCATAACCAATTTAATATTGATAATGAGATTAATACCGCGCAGCAGGCTGCGACTACGTAACTGCAACTATTATTTGGCAAAGGCAGATAGCAACATTGCCTTCAATGGTTGTCTATAAGGCCAGTCTGAAAACTACTCATGGACTGTGGATGGCAAACGCAGTCCAAGAAATCCATAGATATGTTGACAGAAATCTCTAAGACTTTGTTAGTGATTTCCATTCTTTTTCATCTGATTTTAAGTTCATGTTCAAGTTTGATTCCTCAAAGTTTCATCCATTGCCTTTCTCACAAGGTTTCTCCTTCAAATGTTTCCATTCTCAATGTCATGTATGTTCCCAAGAATTCTTCCTATAAGTCTATATTGGATTCTACCATTCATAATCGTAGGTTCTTGACACCTACTACCCCAAAACCGCTGGCCATAATCACTCCTCTAGATTATTCTCATGTTCAAACCACCGTAAAGTGTTGCAAACAAAGTGCATTGCAGATCAGAATCCGAAGTGGTGGGCATGACTACGAAGGCACGTCATACAGATCTGAAGTTCCATTTGTTGTGCTCGACCTCAAAAGCCTGAGGTCTGTTAGCATTGACATTGAAGCAAACACTGCTTGGGTTGAGTCTGGTGCAACCATAGGCGAATTGTATTACTGGATTGCAGAGAAAAGTCGTATTCATGGCTTTCCAGCAGGCCTTTGTCCAACTGTTGGTATTGGAGGACACTTTAGTGGTGGCGGAGTAGGTAATTTGATCAGAAAGTATGGGCTAGCTGCTGATAATGTCATTGATGCACGAATAGTTGATATTAATGGTAGAGTTCTAGACAGGAAATCGATGGGAACTGATCTTTTTTGGGCCATAAGAGGAGGTGGCGGAGCAAGTTTTGGAGTTATAGTTGCTTGGAAAATCAAGCTTGTCCATGTTCCACCTATAGTTACCGTTTTCAAATTAACTAAGACCTTGGAAGAAGGAGCCATAAGTCTAATTTACAAATGGCAATTTGAAGCACACAAGCTAAGTGAAGATTTACTCTTTAGAATCATAATATCACCAAGCATTGGGAGGGAAGGAATTGAAGCAACATTCAGTTCATTGTTCCTCGGTAGAGCTGATCAGCTCCTGAAAATGATGGAGGAGAGCTTCCCCAAAATTCGCCTGAGAAAAGAAGATTGCATTGAGATGAGTTGGATTGAATCTGTTCTCCATTTCGCGGAGTATCAAAGTGGGGAAACTGCAGACGCCCTAAAAAACAGAATAGATCCGCGACGTCTTAGTTACTTCAAAGGCAAGTCAGACTTGGTTTACAAGCCCATACCTTATGAGGCATTAGAAGAGCTCTGGAAAAGGTGTTCGGATGCAAATTCTCCTTTTATCTACCTAGAATTGCAGCCTTATGGTGGAAGAATGAACGAGATACCAGAATCAGAAAGTCCATATCCGCATAGGAAAGATGTGATATTTGAAATCCTCTACATGGTGTTATGGATGAACGATGAGAATGGTGAATCTTCAGAAAGGAACATCAATTGGATAAGAGCATTATATGAGTTCATGACTCCTTATGTGTCTAAAGGGCCAAGAGGTGCTATTTGGAATGGTAGAGATCTTGATTTAGGTGTAAATGGTGTTTCTGGCACTGTTACTTATTCAAAAGCTAAGGCATGGGGATCAAGGTATTTCAAAGATAATTTTAAGAGGTTGGCAGTCATTAAAGGTGAAGTTGATCCAAATAATTTTTTCTACCATGAGCAAAGCATTCCACCTCTGGTTTTCCATGCACAACGAAAGTGTGGAATACCAAATATGAAGTTTCTGGATAAATGTTCCTTACGGAATGACTCATGCCATGTTCAAGTTTTCTAATATTGTAAAGTCCCTAGTTCCCACCCCCCCCCCACCCCCTCTCCGGGGGAGCCCCATCCCAAACAAAGTGCAATGTGATTTGTAATTGTCCCCAAACATGTTTGATTCATTGTACCCAAAGCACTGTTGATTTATTTTAGCCTTTCATTTTGACAATCACTGCTTTCCTAAATGGCCCTTTATTATAAGCAGAAAAATCAGCATGTTGGTGGCTATAAATTTCTTTGTTGAAAATTGTGGGCAATGTCCCTTCATTTTTTTTTAATCAAACGGCAAAATCTAGTTTAACTTACTCCTACTCCTACTTTAGTGTTAGCCTACACTAAGAGGAGACCCAAAAGAGTTTAAAAAAATCGACAAAGACTGAACCACCATCAAACTAGATAGGTACACTACGTGCTTGTATGGATTTAGGAGAAGTCACATATAGTGGCACAGCCATGGGAAGTAAGGTTTGAACCATTGATCTCCTATTCTATCAAGATTTAAAGTATTTGGTGGTGACATATAGTTCAAAGTGCCATTGGTTAATGTCCCTTCATTCACTTATTGATATTTTTTTTGGGTGGTTGGAGTCCAAACAAAACAAATCTAAGAGATATGTAAAAGTACATGTTCACCAACAGGATGGTAACATAGAAGATAACTTCCTCGAGCAAATTGACCAATTATTTAGATTAACAAGAGAAACGAAAAGGACCATGATAACATTTTTTGAAGGAAGATAAATTTTATTAGAAAAATACCAGATGGAGTGAATATAGAATTATATTCTAATTTGAGATTCTACTAATTATATTTGTTTTGTCAAAATAGGTAAAATAAAAACCGATAAAAACTACTGTAGTACGATTCACTACAAGTGGAGTTTAGATTTGTCTCAGTTGTCTGTTTGGTGTGATATGTGAGGATGGTCACCTCGGCCTTCGGATAGGCCGAGGTCATACCACCTCGTCCTCCATACAGAACGAGATGTCCTTGGGCCATGACTCCTTCCCCTGACCTCGGTTGTATCTCAAGTCTACGTCACGGAAGACCTCTGTACTTTAGGTGCGTCATCCCAGCTCCACGTGGATGATGTCAACCTGCCTGACACCTCACTGAAGGCCATTGCTTTATCTAAAAAGCTACCGATGCTCTTAATGGCTATTGCACAGGACTACCTGTCAGCATGTCCAGACTGCTATAGTGTCAGAATTAGACCTGTAGATGCAGAACAGAGCCGTAATAGTCAGGATGTGGGTCTCGCTAGCATAAGCCCACCGTCCTGTCCTTCACTCCTGTCCTATAAATACCCCTTGTTCACTCCCAACAAGGAAGCACACTGTTTCGTTCACGTCCCCTTTTATTTCTTGCTTCCTCAATATACTGACTTGATCGTCGGAGTGATCCCAGGGGAGAAGTTCCGCCATTCACTTCGGACAAGCGAATCTATCATACCTCACTTGAGAGAGGACTGATTCAGGTCGGTTCGGATACCTACCTGAAATCACCTCTTCAATATGCAAGGTGTTAAGCCTTTTATTGAAATTACGGTTATCGTAACAGGATCCTTTTCTTTATAGCACTAGTATTATATTGCGAGGGTGACTTGCTCTATTGATGGTCACCATGCCGAACTTGGAGGAGAGGGAGCTTCATAAACTAGACAACCGAATCACAATATGCTTATCAAGGTTCTTACGCATCTCTCAATCCCTCATACTAACTTTGGAGAATGCTACGTATTTTCTACTATAGTTATAATCAAATATCTGATATTGGAATTTTGAAAAGCCCTGCAAGTGGTATCAAGCAGGCAAGTCCCAGTTGCACTCTTTAAATTTTGACAATCGAAGCAGCTGCTTTGAACTAGTCCACCTTTCTGTTGTTTTTGTGGCTCTTCCTTGAGGGTTCTTTATATAGCTAGTGTCTCTCCTCAAGTTAGTCCCATGAGTTTTTCCTTGTTAGTATTTCCTAATGCCTTTAATGCGTGAAGTAAAGTGCTTTCCAGGCGGGCGTGCTCTTCCGTGTCTTTCAACCTCTAGACTTTAAAACTCCTTTCTTGAAGCCCTGCGAAAAAACTCTTGTTGCTGCCAGCTTAAACAACCACCAAATAAATAATATTTCTTGTACGACGCATGCTATCGAATGCCAGAATAGCATTTGTGAAAGACTCAAAGTCCCCACAAATGTTAGGTAGGGTACGTATTTGTGGGAGACCTAGCAAAGCTAACTTGTAAAGTGCAAGAAAAGATCATAAAAAATCTCGCTTGGCAATGTGATATACTGCCAACCATCTTTTCAAGTGATAGTAAATACATTGCCCACCCAGATTTCAACTTTGGGGGCAAAAATATATTGCAAAACAATTATCTAAGAAAGATAATATCAACCACCGCACGTAATTAAAAGAGTCAATTTTATATAATCTAAAAATGTATACACTAACGAGTATGAATATATCACATGATCTCAATTTGAATTTAAATTTTCATTATTGCACGTGTAATATGCATTTATGCACACTAGTTTATACACTTTAGTATATACAAGATTAATCTTAAATTCTTAATTAAAAGTTCACTAATACTCAAATAGCTAACCAGTAGAGCGCTGTGCAATTGTCCAAAATAAAAAAAAATTATATCTAACAAATGGATATCAACTTATTTGGTATTGACATATCATATTGCATGCCGTTCTTAAAAGCGTTCATATTTTCGTTTGCTGTTTGATATTCGAAAAGCAAATATTTCTCCTAAACAAACCCAACATATCATTGAATGAATCTTACAACAACTCTTGGAGGTTGGACCTGATATAGCCTTTTTTTTTTTGGAAAATATTACTAACACTACTACTAAATACTATACTATGCTGTAGGTAAACATTATAGCGAGGTTCCAATTTGCCTTGGTGCAGCTAACGTTCTTCCGTACGGTAATAAACTAATAATAGAGCATATATTGTTAACAATGGCTCCCACTGGCAATAAAATGGCCAGCTCGAAATATACAATGATTCCTGATTTTCCCATATGTCCTAGACAGTTACAGATAATGCTAGTCTTCTGACCTTGCTAACAAAACTATGTGAAGAGCAACACCTACTATACCGCATTATTTCATCCAGCCAACTAGTTTGTTCTTTGTAAACTAGGACTTAATATAGTTAAGCAATATAACATGAAAATTGAAGGCCTTTTTCAATTTTCCATTAATGAGAGAATCAATTGAGAAAGAGACCAATTGGATGAAGCATTTTATTTTCTCCTATGCATGGACACGGGAAAGGATTAAAGTTTCTGATGCCAATGAATATTTTATTTTTCCATCTGTTCATCCTGTTATAATTGAATAGTGATGGGGTTTTTTGTATCAAATTGAGTTTCACGGCGGGGCTTCTCTATCATACATGCAATAATTTATTATTGGGTTAAGGGAGTCGTGAATATGGGGCAATCCTGTGGCTGCTAATTTTTCAACATAAGTAGAATAAGAGCCGAAGAGCTCTGATGACCTGGATGGTTTTCGTCGTCCTCTCACGTGCGTTGTGCGTGGTTCCTGACGACATCGTTTTGTGTTGTTCGCCTCTTTCGCTGGTGGTTTAGCTTTGTTGTCTTCTTCCATGACGTTCGGCACTGTTCTATGTCAGAAAGGCAGTCTGCACTTGGTCACTCCCATTTCACTAATCCAGCTAGCCTTCGTCCTCATCTAATAACGGCAATAAATAATTTCTGTACTACTTTTGCTCTTACTCTTCGGCCTTTTTTCAGCTTTTCAGTCGGAGCATTAATGGGTTTAGGGTTTGGGGTTTGGGGTAAAGAATAGAGACCCCACACTTCTCTCTTTCTTTTCTTTCCTCAGAAGCTCCGCCACCTTCTTCCTCTCCAAAGCGTTTCATCTCTCATTTCTTCTTCGTTCATTTTTGTTATTTTTCCTTTCTCCTGCACGATCATAGATGACTTCCGAAAATACTCGTGGACGGTTTGCTCTGTGGTTGTGCAGGTGCCGTCTCATTTGCTGTCGTACTTTCATATCTCTACGAGCAAGACTGGAAAGACGCCATTTTAGTGCTCTTATATTCTCAAATGTGAAGCTTCCCTCTCGCATCGGATTGACGGCTATTCTGGTGGTATCTCATTGGGAATTCTGTGTCCCTACGGCAACTGGGGTCAATGATTCCGGCTCAGTGGACTCTACTTTGATCCAGTCCATAAGGAGGAAGGTTTGATCCACTGAACGTATCTCTTTTTTGCCCTTCTTGTATGATACATTCTGTATAACGAGCTCCTCTGATCATTTTTTTCACTTAGTCGGAGCAATCTTTGGTGTTGTTTTATTCGCATAAAAACAGTTGATCCTGTGTACCTGCGGCAAAAGAGTGCAGATGGATCTGAGCTATTTTATTTCTATTCAAAAATTTGCCTTTTTAATTTCGTTTCTATTTTTTTTTCTAATTTTTAACCAATATGACCTCCTTTTTTGGGCCCTCTTAGAGATGATCTCAAAGAAAAGCTTCAACCCCAGATCTTCAAGCTAAAGTAATAGAGTGAGGTATGTGCGATTTTCTCTACTTTTTTCCCTAATTATTTCATTTCATAGGATTTTTTTCTGAATTTTCCTGATTTTTTTAAAAAATGACAATATTGATTTTATTAGAAATGGCTCTACCGAAATTTTTCTGGCTGATTTTCAAGTTTATTATTGCTAATTAATTGGATTACTGGAATGGACAGGTTGTTGCAGTTAAGCAATTGGATAGAAATAGGCTTCAGGGTAACCGGGAATTTTTTGTTCAGGCTCTTATGTTCAGTCTTTTATATCATTCTAACCTTGTAAATTTAATCGGTTACTGTGCTGATGGGGACCAGAGGCTACTTGTCTATGAGTTCATGCCCTTGGGATCATTGGAAGATCATCTTCATGGTATCATTTCAGGCATTCTTGTTCATTATCTTGTCAATTCTTTGTGGTTTAGTTATTGCATGTTCAGCAAGAAGTCCATCCCATTTTTAAATTGAATTTACATGTTTACTGAAATTTACAAAC